TACAATCGAAACAGCACATCAGCGCAAAATGGTTGAGCAAAACACAAGAAAACTTTCCAAAACTTTGTTCCTTATGACAGGAGCATCTGCTGCCTTTTGGGTTCCAAGCCTTGTTTTATTTTCTTGTCTTACTTTCGCTCCAGGAATGTTTCCTGAATTTGTGAAATATGTTTTAACTATAATTCATATGTGCAATTCCGTCGCAAATCCACTGATTTACAGTCTAAGAATGCCTATGTTCAGACAAAGTCTTAGGCGATTTAGACTTGTAAAAATTCCTAAGCGGCGGAAAAAATACGTAGTAAATTGAGGATATTATTATGGAGCCTAAGATAACACCACAAACAAAGATTTGAACGTCTAATAACAGTACTTTTTAATGTTTTCCTTTATTTAGTATAACAAGATATGTGTAATTAACATAAACGTAATTAACTTTTTTTAACAGTTGAGTTCAAAGTTTTAATATACTTTTAACAGAGTCATCTGTGCGCAATCCTTGTAAACACATTGTATGCTTTCATCATTCTTAATTAAAGCCAAGACCTAATCTATTACCTTTCTTTTGGTTCAATTGATAGCACGGTTAAATTAATAATTAATCTTCTATTTATCATAAATATTACTAGCTGTAGGCCTTAGCAGTCCGTATACTTTATATTTCTTTAATGAGAGGATCGCTATTGGCTTCTGCAAAACGCGGCTCAGCAATACCCAGTTAACAACTCAGCAGATTCTAGTAGTCTAGAGGCTCTGCAAAACCCTACCTTTTCTCTGCATGTAAAACACCTCAAACTTCATTTTAGTGTGTTTTGTCTGATACGATTAGTAAGGCGATTTTATGTGTCGTTTTTAGTGTCTTATCGCTCTTCATATTTACTGCGAATGCTTTCACTGTTTTTTCTTTGGGGGGGGGATTTATCGCCACAATAGTTTGGTTGGTTGGAATCGCTCTGGGTGCACTGAAATTACTACCAATTTACGATATCTTCGACTAGAAATATGATATTGTCGCCTACTCTGTCCTCATTGCTCTGTCTTTACTCTTGATTTGCTTTTCGTATCTCAAAACTCATAAAGACCCTTTTCATTGTAACAGGTGCATCTGTGACACTTTGGCCCTCCTGCAGGCATTGTGCAACTGGCCAGTCTTTTGTGCAAGGGCTTGTTCCCTGATTTTGTGAATTACATTTTTTTCATGTTTTATTTAACCAGGTCTCTTATTAATCCAATAATGCATAGTTTAACAATGCCACTACACTGTATTTTGCAAGAACTTAAAAATAAATTGAAGGTTCCACACTGGAGATCGAAAAATGTCGTAGCGACAAAGATTGAATTAGCGCTCAACTCTTTTAAAAAGGGTTCATTGTGCACTGTTCAAAAAAAAGGGGCCATTTTATGGAAGTGTCACAACACACTGTCCTTTTGTCTTTGTAGCCTGCAGCGGATTATACATTCATAATTTCATTAAAAATTATGCTCATGCAGATTGATCGACTTACTTAACAGTCCTACATTTCTTACTCTGTTAGTTATAATATTCGTGAAATTAAATACTGCTTCGAACAATTGTGTTACATTCGTGTAGAGGACAATTCATTGTACCTACATGGACCTTAAATCGATCCAAAAACACAAATGAAGAGGAAGAAAAACAGTAGAAATGTAGTAGTGGTTGTGGAGCGAAGAACAATAGAAATGTGGTGGTGGTGGTGGTGGAGGTGGAGGTGGTGGTAGTGGTGGTGGGAAAATAAAAGAAATGTGGTAGGGACGGGGGTGGTTTAGTGGTGAAGAGAAAACAATAAAAATGCAGTGGTGGTGGTGGGGTTGTGGTAGTGATGGAGAGAAGACAAAACAAACGTGGTGGTGGTCGGAGGTGTTAGTAGTGGTAGTGGCGAAGAGAAAACAATAGAAATGTTGTGGTGGTAATTTTGGGGGTGTTGGTGGTGGTGGTTGTAGTAAACGGAAAAATTTGAGGAAGAGCGAAGTAACTGATTTGTTAAGAAAAGGAATTTTATTTATGAGATAACGAGAAACGGTTATGACGTCATCTACGTCATCACTTGAGTTGAATGAAAAGGACTGTGTCTGGGTCATGGCTAGGTCATTTTGTTTATAAAGCTAATAGGTTGGCAGATCAATACAGGAGTGTCAAGAAACATCACTTTAGGGAGCTAAAGGGAAGGCGTTTTTGAGCCACGAACGTCAAGGCATTTACCACTTTTATATGCCTTGGCACTAACAACCTTGTTTAAATACAAGAACCCTAATTTGCAAAAGAAAGCAAAACCCTGAAGGATTCTGACAGTAGTAAAATGAGACCACAATGGCCTCTTATGCCTCCTTATTCGCTATGAAATTTTAGAAATTACTTGTGAATTACAAAATCACAGCCACGTGTCAAGAGAATCCGTCTCACAAGCATTATATCGAACCTTACAAACAACTGCGAAAAACACTCCTACTATACTACTAACGCAGCACTTCGCAGCCAATAACATCAAGGCTTAACTGAGAGACGACCAATAACCTTGGCACCTCGAGTACTGACCAGATATCCTGAAGATAGCTACAGAACAGGTTGACGAAACATCAAGCAATGTCAGAAACAGTCCTATTCTGGACTACGCTCAACCGGAAGATTACAGTATACACCGGCGAAGAAGAACTTAGAGAAATAATCAAGAGCCAAAAACTTACAAGAAACGGTTTATCCAAGCAAGATAAAGCAGATTCTTATATGTGGGTTACAATTAAATTATGATAAACAAGGAATGTAACCTACAGGTTGTAAATTTAAGTACAATGAGAAACTACAAGTCAGCAAACTGTTTATCAATTTGGTATTTGTTAGGGTTATGATAATACAATTAGGAACAAATTGTCGGACAGCTCTTCGGCAGTTCGCAGAAAGGTGCGAATTTGAATCGATTACCCCGAATCAGATTTTACGGGACAAGCTCGTGTTTGGAATTCTAGATTCAAAGGTTCGTGAGAGGCTTCTTCGTAAAAATAATTTGAATTGTCCTTAGACAAAACGGACGAGATTTGTCGCTCTCATGAGACCATAGTACAGCAGATGAAGGTTGTCAGTGATGTCGGTTTAAGCTTTGCAGATGCGGGAACTATGAATACTGTGTCTAGAGAGGCTAAAAGAGGGAGACGTAGGCGCGATCGTGGCTCGAGAAATACTGGCGCGCGGGAAAATAATGTAGCCGTGCATTTTGCGGACGTGAGCATTGTCCGACGTGAGCACTGTCCGTCTTATGGACAGAGCTGCAATAAGTGTGGCATGAAAACAAAACATTTCGCGAACGTGTGTTGTGGACACGCGCCTGAGCCCACGCCTCGCGCCAGATGATTCTCAACTGGCAACGCTGAAGTTGGAATCTGGATATTATCATTGGTTTCAGCCCGTCACAGGAGCTCAGTGCAATGTTGTCGCTTTGCATCTGTACAAGAAGGCGACCAAAGATTTTGATTTGCGCAGCGTGACCCCTACCAATACGGCGATTATTCCTATGGTGGTACTTCAATTCCTGTCCTCGGGAAAGTTCCTTCGCGTGTATGGCGTGGAGATTTCAGATGTCTGCTTAACTGCAATTTGGTTGAAAGCAAGCGAGTCCGGCCTATTCTGGTCATTAAAGCGTGCCTTGGAATGAACATTATTACGTATCAAGACAACGACCAGTTGAACCGACCACAGGCGTCCGAAGGTGGAATTTATACACATGATGTCCGGGCTACTTCCCCGGTCTCCGCTTACCAGCTGTTTAAGAGGTTTCCTCGTGTCTTTACTGATGGTGTAGGTGCTCTTGCAGGCGAATATCACATGGTGCTAGATAAGTCGGCTAGGCCAGTTCAACATCCTCCTCACCGAGTTCCATTCGCCATCCGCGAACGTCTTAGAGAGATACTGGAGGATTTAGAGAAGCGTGAAATTATTGCTCGAGTGACAACGCCCACCCCTTGAATCAGCTCGAACGTTGTCGTACCAAAGAAGAATGGCAAATTAGGCATATGTTTGGATCCGATGGGTCTAAATCGTGCTTTGCTGCGCGAAAACTATCCTTTGCCTACGACTGAAGAAGTGGCTTCCCGTCTTCACGGAAAAAACGTTTTCACATCCTTTGATGTTTCCAATGGCTTCTGGCATGTTGTTCAGGATAGAGAATGTTCGTTTTGTACTAAGTTCAATACGCCTTTTGGAAGATACCACTAGAAAAGGATGCCGTTCGGGATCAGATCTGCACCTGTAGTGTTTCAGAGTAAAATTACTGAGTTGATTGAAGGGTTGAGGGGTGTTGATACGGTGAATCGTGGCATTCTGCAATAAAAGACCATGACGGGAATCTTCTTGCGTTTCTCGAGAGATGTGATGAACGCGAAGTCCATTTGAACGGCAACAAGTTGCAGCTTAGAATGAAAGAAGTCCCTGAGAGAAAGTCCCACGTTAGGGCCCGCGATTGGTTCTTTCGTCCTGTATACGCAAGGAACTTATGTCCGTGGCTCATGCGACCCATATTGGTATCGAAGGCTCTTTGCGGTGCGTTAGAGAATGTCTTTTTTGGCCTAGAATGGCGTCTGATGTCAAAGACTATGTTTCCAAATGTGACGTGTGTTTGGCTCATCTTACGTCCCAGACTAAGAAACCGCTCCTTCAACACGAAGTGATCGCAAGACCATGGGCCAAGCTAGCCGCTTACCTGTGTGAACTGCATGGACGGACCCTGTTGGTTGTTACTGATTATTTTAGCAACTACATCGAAGTGGCGCGTCTCTCCGCTACCTCAACTCAAACTGTTGTTCGCGAGTTGAAGACCATGTTTGCGCGTTTTGGTATTTCTGAGATCCTTGTGACGGATAATGGGCCACAGTTTTCGTCTAACGAGAGTCAAGTATTTGCTAGGGTATGGTCTTTTAATTATATCACTACATCGCCTCGCTACCCTCAGTCAAATGGTAAAGCCGAAAACGCTGTGCGGACAGTGAAGCGTCTATTTGAGAAATGCAAAGAAGCCGGTCTGGCAGAATTTGAAGCTCTTCTTGACTGGCGAATAAAGCCTCCTGAGGGGATGGATACCAGCCTGGCACAGCGCCTGATGGGACGTCGATGCCGTACGTTACTTCCGATGTCAGAGTCTCTTTTACAACCAAGTTACTCATTGCGTGGTTATCTGCGAGCGTTGACTCAAATGAAAAATGGCGCCATATTGTAGCATGGAGATTTACCATGATTTATTGTGGTTCATTTGAAGTTCAATTGTACTAAAACTCATTAAATATTTTCCTCGAAAAGAAACCTTTTTTATGTCTTACAAACTCTCCTTTGAAATATCATCACATTTTATTGGGTAAGATTCAATATAATTACTAAAACGGCTCTAAAACGTTTCATTGAATTTTCGGTCAAGTGAAGATATGAGGCGATTGACTTCGTTCCATTTACTAGATCAACAAAAAAACTGCAATGCTTACTATACTCAAGAAAATTACTTACAGACCAGGTGTTTGCCTGGACCTTTTATCTTTCAAGTAAAGGCAACTTGATAGGTAACATGAAATTAATTAAAAAAATAATGAACACTCTAATCGAAAACCTTCAATTTCATTATCTACCCCGGATATCACGCCCAATCATGCCCTAGTTTCAAATGTTTTGAATCCACCAATCACTGTATACATGTTAGTATACAATAAGTGTAAGCCATCAACAGAACTCCAAGTTCACCGATTTCAATTATTCTCAAGGTTTGTTTTCAAAAGTGATATGTAACTGAATATTAAAAGAAAATTGCTCTTCGTTTTTCTCAGTGGGCTATACGGCTAAACGTTTGCGGTACGGTTCTTATTCGCGTGTGTTTACTATACTTGGAAAATGACTCCTGGGTTGAAACCATTCACTGTGCTACCAAAATATACTAAAAAAAACACTGTACTCCGCTTGTCTGAACCATTATCTTAAAATAAGGGCAACTTGATAGGGAACATGAAATAGATTGAAAAAATGATGAGTACCCCAGTCGAAAGCCTCAATTTCATTATCCATCCTGGATCTCACTCAACAGTTTTAAACGATTCAAACGTTTTGAATCCATGCACCAATCACTGTATACATGTTGATACGAATAAGTGTTAGCCTTCAAGGGAACCCTGAGTTCACCGATTTCAAATTATTCTCAAGGTTTGTTTTGAAACGTGATATGTAAATCAATCTTAAACTAAAATTGCTGTTCCTTTTTTTATATCTCAGTGGGTTATCTAAACATTGCGGTACTTTATTAAAAACAAATATTACAATTCTTTCTATTATTCGATTCAACACTCGGTTTCAGGCAAATAAAATATGATTTAATCTTGTCTTTCGAAAGATGAGTTCATGTAATGTATTTTCCTATCCTGGTGATGGGTATGTTTGTTTTCAAATAGATCGACAATACTAGAAGGCGGATATTGAAAAAAAATCCATTGCGCAACCCGATTAAAAATTAATAACTACTTTCTTACTTCTCAACTATTAGCGCCATCGGAACTGAAGAATGAACGGAATCTAAGTTTCTCTCAGCCTGTTGGTAAAGAATCAAGTCTGACATTCAGTTCATTTTAAGTCATTCATTACTCTCAGTTATGTCTGATACAACTGACTTGGTGTTTTTGTGCATTCTCATTGTTCTGACTATCGTCATTCTCATTGCCAACATGTTTACTATATTTGTTTTCTGGATTCATCGCAAGAAACTAAAACGAACATTTTTACTTGTTATTAACTTGGCCTTTGCCGATCTTTTTGTTGGATTCACTGGAATACTGACAGTGATTGCGGCATTTGCTTTTCAGCGACATACTGTCTTCAACAAAATCAGTTACGATACTTTCTTTGGTATATCACTAATACTTCACGCCACTTTTGCATGTATATCCGTGTATTTTCTGGTGCTCATTTCTCTAGAACGAGCCTTCGCTTTGATTTGGCCGCTTCGACATCGTCTAGCAAGCACCATGGTTTACATCAACAGTGTGGTTATTGTGTGGTTAGTTGGGACAGCTCAAGGCGCATTGATTTTTTTAGCGCTAAATGAAGATATCAAAATGGAGTATAGCGAAGTTTGTGGTGGATTTTTTATTTATTTCTCATTGGGGACGATCTGTGTTTCTTATCTCTCAATCCGGAAAAGACTCAACAACAGAAATCGCTACATCAACACAACCCAAAACAGACAAATTTTGGAACAAAATATTAAGCTTTCTAAGACCTTTTTTACTGTAATCTATGCGTCGATTGTTTGTTTGGCTCCAAGCGTTTCATTTTACATTGTCAGTTGTTTTCATCCAGCCCTTTTTGCTGGTTTTTTGAAATATATTTTCGTAATGTTAAATCAGTCTAATTCTCTTGTTAACCCAATAATTTATAGTTTTAGGATGGCGATATTTAGGAAAACTTTAAAACAACTGAAAAAAATAATTAAAATTCCGAAACCGTCCTCCAAGGATACACTTAGCGGAGAAACCTGAAAATATGTTCAACCTGAGAATTCACTCTAAATTTAACTCGTAAGTAGACGGCTTCAACTTTAAAGGTAATAGCACTAAATTCAAGGCTAATTTTGTACCCTGTTCATTCAATGCACTTATAAACCTTCAAACATCTGATCTGTTTCTAATATTTTTCATCCGATAATTTAGAAGGATTAAGAAAACGTTAAGGGCATTTAAAGTTGGTTAAAAATTCCAAATCAATCGGGAAATTGTTCAGTTAGTAGCAAAAACTGAAGCATAAAAATAGAAGCACATGTACAATATTCGTGAGGGGTGCTTTGTCCTCAAGGCACGCTTCCACAACAAGAGCACAGGCTTAGATTTTCTTTTACTAAAGTTAAAATTCTTTATAATTAAGAGGAATAATGAGTGAATAGTCTATCTCACAGCTAAGGCTTTTAGGCAAGGTAAACGAAAGGGGAAGATTTAAGTTCAGGTGAGACCACAGGCTGCCCAAACTCACGTTACGAGGGAACGGTTACATACCATAGGTGACGCGCCGGTGTCGCGTTACAGGCGACCGTTGAAGATAGAAATGAATAAAAAAGACTTACCTGCGATGTTTTCCACTGTGCTTTGGTGTCTGTTTGTCGTTTTACTGTTTTTTTTTTGTTTTGTTTTGTTTTGTTTTGTTTTTTTTGCTTTATTGCGTAACCACTGTTACTCCTTTCATAGAACGAACTGTGGCACTAGGGACTAGGCAAGGCCGGATAAGCCGGATACTCACCCCAAACGTCAGCGTTTTTTTTGCTAAGCCAAGAGAGTTTTTCCGTACCCGCGGATTGTGTGGGGGCTCCACCACCAATGTCCCGGATAAGTAGCCCATAACCCTACCCAGGAGTTCAATTAATGCCACGCTCTCGATCTGCTGTGACTCAAAAGAAAAATAAGAGACGGCTCGCTTTTTTTTCCGTCAGCTATGAATTTTAAAAGTTTGATTGACTGGTAGAGGAGCAGGAGAATGCCTTTATGGGCCATTGCCCCGCGAGGAGGTACTCTGGATTTCAAGTGACAAGGATGATAGAATGTGGGCAAAACTCAAAGCCCCCAAAAAACCCTGGACCAAAGTTTAGCCCCCACAAAATCCCATGCCGAATTTCCTAGCCATAAAAATTTATTCGCGGACTATGTACGCGGCCTGGATAGGTGACATTGTTGGGAACAATAACGAATCTTCAAATTGTTTTGAACAGACAAAGAAAACCCTACTTAATTTAAATCGAGCTACCCAAAAGTATACTTGCCAAAACTTTCCAAATCAAAAAAGTTATTCGTTCGTCCCTCTCATGCACTTGAATACAGAGAACCCTCTCACCTCCTCTCCCAACGCCCCCCCCCCCCCCCCCCCCCCCCCCCCCCCCC